AGCTTCTGTGGGCCTTATCAGTACCAAACGTCCAATTCCGTTGATCTGTTCTCTCAAATTTTACTGGAAAGAAAAAGAATGAGAATTCTTTGGCGAGTAGGATTCAGTTTTGAATCATCAATTTTGTACACGCAAGTTGGATCAGATTTTACATTCAGAAATATGCACTACTAAAAGAAATAATTAAAAAAGAATCCTTCAGGCCGGAAAATAAGAAAAGGAAAAAAAAAAAAAAAAAAAAACCGTGCTGTTCTTAGTGACATTTCCAATGGTCACATTTATCTCAACCAGCATAGCAAAGAAAGCAGTCAAGCACTAGGACTAGATTAAAATTAAAGTTGTTTGGTAAAATTGATCGAAGGACCAGAAACTCTCACTAGTTAGATGGTGGGGCCCAATGTCGTGTCTCCTATAGCAAGTACTCACTTCCCAAAGGCATCTGCTTATGGGCCCAGACCCAGGCCCCGAAACTGTATATTCTTTCATCACAAATATTAAAAAATAGATCAATATAAAAAGTTTAAGAAAATATATAGATTTATTTTTAATTATAAAAATTAGTAGGTCATAATTTGTTAAATTATGACTCATAATTAGATAAATTATAGATAAAATTATTAAGTTATGGTTCATAATTAGATAAATTATGAATAAAAATTATAATTTATAGACAACAACTTATCAAGTTATAGTTCATAACCAGACAAATTATAGACGAAAATAATAATTTAACATATTTATTAACTTATGTAATATACGCTAAACGATCGGACCAGACAGGTGCAGGTAGCTTGACCGCCTTACCCGTCATTGAAACACAAGCCGGAGACGTATCGGCCTATATTCCTACCAATGTGATCTCCATTAATATATTATGCTATTAATTTTAATTCATCTAAAATCTTAACATATTTTCTTCAACTCCCTTCTTTTATTTCCTTATAAAATTGTGGATAAACTTAAAATACATATTTATCACAATAACTATTCCTTATCCGTTCACTTTTCTCTTTCTTTTTCTTTCTCTCTCCTTTTTTTTTTGGGCTAAAAATTATCCAATCATATATAGTCTCCTTTTGGTAAGAAAAATCCAATTAGATGTTTTTTTATGTCCTATTTATCTATTAGATACTTAAGTAATAATCATATCTAATTATTGGTCTAATGAATTTTTCTGTATTATGCTTCCAAGATTAGTAAATAGAAATGGTAATTCATAATGACCATTGGTAATCTTCAAAATGTTCGATTTAGGTAGCGTGTGTGAATTTTGTGCGAAGTTTTTGTTTTTTGGTAGAAAAGCTAATATGTAACACAAGAATACAAGATATTAGATTTATGAATTTTGTTCAAAGTGTTTTTTTTGGTAGAAAAGCTACTATGTAAATTTGACCAACACAAACAAGAATACAAGATATGACATGTACGAACGTTTTACTTTTAATAAATAACAATTAATAACTTGAAAGCTTCATTATCAAAAAAAAAAAAAAAAGATAGCAATTAATAACAAATAGTCGCACCTTGGAAAAAAGAAAGGAAAAAGAAAAGAGTGGTTGGCAGCTAGCCAGCACTAAACGTACGAAACAATAACGAAAAAAGAGGGGAGTGGCACAGATGTCAAAAATCAAATTGTTGCTTCTTCCCATTTTTTGCAAAGTTATGGAAACTTCTCTATCCACCAAGTAACGTAACTCATAAGCATCGCCCAAAAGCCTTTTTCACTGGTCGCCACAAAATGACAAAATCATTGTGTTATAAATATAATAATATTATAGGCTTCAACCCCCAACAAATAAATAAATAAATAAAGCAAAAACACATAATCATCGAATTAACATCACTCTTCTAATCAATCTTATAATGTTAACTAAAGATTTTAGAGAGAGAAAGGGAAAACTTAAGATGAATTAAAATTAATAGATAAATAGTTTACATAAGTTAATAAATAAGTTAAATTATTATTTTCGTTTATAATTTGTCTGGTTATGAACCATAACTTGACAAGTTATTATCTATAATTGTCCATAACTTGTCTGGTTATGAACCATAACTTGATAAATTTATCCATAATTTATCTGGTTATGAACCATAACTTGACAAGTTATGGCGTATTAATTTCTATAACTAAAAATTGGCCTATATACTTTCTTAAGCTGTTCATATTGGCATATTTCTTACTATTTTCTAAGATTTTAATTATCAAACCTGTTGAGGTAATTGTTAAGATGTTGCACACCTCCATTCTACCATGGTTTGGAGAAAATTATCATATCACATGAAAAAAGAATGAGCGGCTGAGATGAGGAGATGGAGTGGTGATTAAATCACGAGCGTAGCATGTGCTTCTGCTCACACTGAGAGCCTGTTTAGGATAGTTTATGCTTGTATTTTTAAATAGTAAAAAATATAAGTATAAGTGGAGGCTTTTTAATTAGTGTCTACTAGTGTCTGAAAAAATACTTTTATATATAATAATAGCTTTTTAATCTGTTCAGGTAAAAAAGTTAAAAACACGTATTGTTATAAAAAGTAATGTAATAAAATGATATTAATGACATATTTAATTTGTTGTTCACAAATAAAAGGTTAAAAATGTAAATAAAAAAACTTTTCATAAGTACCAAGGAGGGCTTGTTCAAAAAGTGTTTAAAAATTAAAAGTACTTTAAGGTTGTCCATCTAAACAGGTTATACTTTAAGGTTGTATATCTAAACAAGGTTCAAAAGTAACTTTTGGACTAAGAGCATGTTTGGTAGGAGGAAAAAATTGAGGGAGGGAGAGGGGTGGAAGGAGAAGGTGAATCCCTTATTTGGTAGGAAGGAGAAGATATATGGGGTGCGTTTAGAACTCGTTCTAAAATAATTTTATTTTTATATGAAAATGGAAATGAAAACGTTTTTAATCTCAGACAGAAATCATTTTTGAAAATACATTTGGTAGTTTTATCAATAGATTATTTTCAGTATACAAAAATCCATTAATGTCTCCCTCTCTCTTTCTGCTCGAGAGAGGTAAAACGGAAACAAAAAATGAAAAACGACTAAAAGTCGTTTTTCATTTTCTGCTCGAGAGAGGAAAAACGGAAACAAAAAATGAAAAACGACTAAAAGTCGTTTTTCATTCCTCTCCCAATTTATACTAAACCAAAAAATCGTTTTCATTTACGTTTTTTATCTTTAATTGTGCCAAACGCCATTTCTCTCTCGTTTTTATTTTTTTCCTCAAAAAACGTGGAGTCTCCAATCTATCCAAATTTAAATGAAAATGACATTTTCATCCTTCAAAATAAATTATTAAAAAAATAACAAAATGAATAATATAATAATTAAATAAATAATTATCATTAATATTTTCAACTCTCACTTTATCCGACCAAATAACATAAAAGATTATTATAATCTTCAATCATTCATATTTCTCACCCTTTTAACTTTCTCTGTCCTTCTTACTATCTATTTCTCTAACGAAACAGAATTTAAATAAATCAAAAATAATTTTTTTTAAGCCAATCTAAACGGGCGTAAATCCTTTACCTATTCTTTGAATTTTGTTTAAAAATTAAGAACTTGTTTATTCACTGATTTAAATTTTAAATTTAAATTAAAATATAATTTTATGTGATAATTTTTTAATTTTTTTTTTAAGCCAATCTAAACGGGCGTAAATTCTTTACCTATTCTTTGAATTTTGTTTAAAAATTAAAAACTTGTTTATTCACTAATGTAAATTTTAAATTTAAATTAAAATATAATTTTATGTGATAATTTTTTAATATAATAAAAAAATTAGATATAATTATTTTTTAAAATTTTTTATTACAACAAAACTTAAATTCGAAATTTAAATCGTGGCCTAAATAATGCGGTAAAATTGTAGCTTTTGTCTCGTCCGTTTTGCTTTTAAGCCGAGGTGTCCAAAAGGTCCACTGCTCCTTTCAACTTTATGATCATTACACATGCTGTATGAACATTTCTGCTTTTTATTTGTTTATTCATTTATATTTTTTATAATCTATATGACTATTCTATCCGACGGCCAGATTTCTCCCCTCAAGATCCAACGGTATCCCATTGGGTATTCCTAAATCCACGGCTCGTGTTTCTTCGTTATGGCGGGAAAATCGTCCCACCACCGAGACCAAAGAAGGAAAACGAGGACGACGAGGACAGATATTTATTAATTTCCTTAATTTAAGTTCGTAGGAGAGAGAAGAGAGATAGAGAGAGTGGGTATCCCATGCTGGATAGGACAACACCGACGGCAGGTAGAGCCTCCTTTGTGTGGGTCCCACGGATGATAAATTCCGGTGTGCCGTTACGTTCACATCTACGTTACTTTTTTCACTCTTTTTTTTTTTTTCTTTGTTTTTGTTTTCTTTTGCCAAATACCGAAATTACCAGTTTGCCCGTTCTTTAGGCTAATATAGCTGTAATAAAAAAGACATCCCGCTAATATATGGGACTAGGGTATTATACAAGGCATTTACTATTTTGAACTAACTTTTTTTTTTTTTTTTTTTTGCTAGAGTGGCTTCAAAATTGATGTTTTAAATAATTTATTGAGAAATTTGAAATTTTCTTAAATAGATTTTGAACTATTGCAGACCTAAAATTATAGGCAGTCTCAGTGGTCCAAAACCCGAATCCTAACTAGCCAAGTCAATAATGATATTCTATTAATGCATTCGTTTATTTATTTATTAAAATTATTTATTTAAACAAAGGGAGTGAAGACGCTAATAAGGGCTGAAATGGCAGTTTCGTAATTTCGTGCCACCCCACTATCTCCTCTTCTTTTACAAGCAGTCAAAGGGTCAACTCCCGGTAACTCCATAAACTCAAATGAAAACCGCTAGTGGTATTGCATCACGCCGTATGGAATACGTGGCGCAAAATTACTAGTCCGTTTGGGGTCGTCGGGATTCATAGCAACACACCAATAAACAATACCAGTCACTCTCATCCTCTTTCTCTCTCTTTCTCTCACACACAAACACACACTGTTTCCTCTCTCTCTCTCTCTATCTATCTGCTTTTCTCTCTCTATCTGCTTTTCTCTCTCTTGACTGTGTTTTTTCCCTGCAAAAAAGTCCGGAATTTCATATCAAATTCCTCTCCATTTGGCCCTGAAATTCCCGAATACGTGCTCAGCAATGCATGATCTTTCGTTCGATTGCAATTTCGAGTCATAATGCCCTAGCTTTCATCGATTATTGCACTCTCAAAGCGGAATTTGACTTCTCTCTCAACGGAAATGCTTGAAGCAGTGGAGAGTTCCGTCAATGGAGGTTTCTCGCAGTTGCAGAGCTGTGGAGACAGCAGTGAGGAGGAGCTCTCGGTGCTTCCTCGCCACACCAAAGTGGTCGTGACTGGGAATAACAGGACTAAGTCTGTCCTTGTGGGTCTTCAAGGCGTGGTCAAGAAGGCTGTTGGCTTGGGAGGTTGGCATTGGCTGGTAATTCTCTCTCTATTCGAGTTTACGGAGACAATTTTATCCTGGAATGAATTCGAATTTTTTTGTGGTTTTGTTTGCATTTTTTGGAGTTGGAGTTCATTTTGAAGTTTTTAAATCCGAGTTCTTGAAGCAATGTGGTTGAATTTCGATGTTTCTTCGATCAATATTAGTGTATATTCGATTTCTTTTTGAGAAAAAACTTGTAATTTCTCTTTCTCTCTCTTTTGTTTTTTTGTTTTTTTTGTTTTTTTAATTCGCGTAACTTTTTTTTTTTGGGTGAAAGATTCGCATAACTTTTCAAGTGTGAAGTTACTAATTTCTATTTCTTTTTTGGTTTTCGACGCTGATGTTGATTGCATGTATGAATTTATCAATGGATCTGGTGAATTGATTAGATTTTCTATAATGTCGGATTGTAAATTCCATCTTTATACGGTTTACTTAGAAATTTGGGTTTACTAATAGTTTCCCCCATTTCCTTTTGCTTATAGGGTTTGTTTAATTAAATCGAAATTTTGTTTTCTAGTTTGGTCGTATTTACGATTCTTAATATATAACATCAGCGGTCGATTCAATCAGCTTTGATCTCAGTAATAGTTTTGAAAATTCAAATTAGATAACCACTAGTTGTTTCGAATTTCACTGATACCGATCAGTTCAATTGTTTTTCTTGCATGAGATGATTGCTGAAAACTCATTTCAATTGTTTTTGCATGAAATGATTGCTGAAAAGAATTTGCATGTTTGCTTCTTGACCTTTCATGTGTTCAGCAATGTTATTTAAGATTTTTTTTTTAATAATCTCGATTCCTGGTTCAATCATCTATATCGCAATTTTCAGATTATTTTATTTTATTAGGGAAAGACATTTGTATTCTACTACTTCTTGACAAAATGATTTAATTTCGGGCGACATCAATCGCATTTAATCTAGTTCTGTATCCAACCCATTAAAGATATTTTTTTTTGCTTTGATTTTTCTTTTTAATTCTTGACTAAAATGTGAAGCCTGTCTGGGTTTTTGCGTAAATAATTGACTTTTAAATTCTTATCCAATGCATTAAACTGCTCTCGTAAATGGGATTTTTTTGTTCTGCATTTTTCAAAACCCTATCTATATTTGGCTATTAAAGAGTTTTACTGCTTTAAATTAGTCTTTTATTTTATGCTTCCGTGGCACCTTTTTTTTTTCTTTCTCTATCAGCTTGAGTTCTGCAAATCTCAACTGTATGAGGTCACTTCCTGGCGTATAAATTGCATAGAATGGGCCTGATATCCGATCTACAAATTGCAGGTTCTTACTAATGGCATAGAAGTGAAACTGCAAAGGAATGCCCTTAGCGTGATCGAGGCTCCTACTGGAAATGAGGAGGATGATGACCTTGACTTCGAGAACATGCAGTGGAATGGATCAGATATGGGTGAGTCTGGTTTTTATGTTTCGGGTATATGTCGCCACATTTTTTATTCCAGACTAATTTTGCGAGTGAATATGATGCTTAAGAAGTTAAGAACATGTCTTTCTGACCTTATAATTGTCTTCTTACGCTGGTTTTCCCTCAAAAGCCAGTGCAAGTGTTGACTGATTTAAGTTAGGCTTTGACTTGATATACTATTAACTGTGTCATTGCAAATGCGGATGTTTATGAAGTTGGGAACTCATCCTTTATCGAAGGGTCCCCCGTTCTATTATCATCTGTTTCCTTGACCACCTTATTTGTGGGTTTTGAACGTTATGTTCTTTTGAGAAAAAGTTGATGAGGCGGGTGGGCACATAGGATCCGTTGTGTCTTCACTTTTTACTTTTACTATCTCTAAATCAAAACTCAGTTGTCTCACTACTTTATCTTCTTTTTTTGGCTCCACACTTTTCTGATTGTGCTCTTTTTTTTTTTTTTTTTCCCTGCCTGTTTTTCAGCATCCGATGACACTCAAAAATCCCATAGATCAAGACATAGAGTGCACAAGTCATCAGGGTCATCTCACAAGACTATGTGCAGATCTCTCTCTTGTGATTCGCAATCGAAGGGGTCTATTTCTACTCCTCGTGGGCCCATGGTACCTAACCTCTTTCTTATAGTCTTGTTTACTGTTTTTGCTTTTTGTTTTTTGTTTTAGAAAAATGCTAGGTGCATTTATGGGTTGTGATCTGAGACATCTTCTGTACAGAAAGTTGATCTAAGCAAACTGGAAATGACTGCTTTGTGGAGATATTTGCGACACTTTAATCTCGTAAGTTGCTATGCCTATGTATGTATATACTTTGCGAGGCTGACTAAATGTTTCCCTTTAGGCAGTACTAGATTTTCTGTTTACTAACATAGTGGAATCTACTAGGTTGATGCTATCCCCAATCCATCCAAGGAGCAACTTGTCGATGTTGTTCAGAGGCATTTTATGTCACAGGTACTCAGTCACATTAAAAGTTTTCACGTTTTTTGTTACAGTAACTGGCTATGTGATTTAATCCAAGTAGACAGTGGAACGTAATAGAGAGGGAAAAGTTCTTGCCTGTAAATTCCATTTACAATTACTTATCATTTACTTAACATGATTATAATTGACATGTTATCCGTATGTTTCATGTCACTATTCTCTCGGCGGTACTAGTCTACCAGATTTTATTCTACTTGTGTAAGTTGCATTACTGATCTTTTGAAAACATCTTCTCTTGGTGGCTGTAGCAAATTGACGAGTTGCAGGTGATTATGGGGTTTGTTCAGTCTGCAAAGAGACTGAAGACTGTTTGCAAATGAGATAAGAGAGGATCGGCAAGGTCTTTGCGTTCGGTTGTCGATGCTAACAGATACTGCACCCGGGTGTCCGCTCCCCCTGTAGCGATATTGTAACATATTTATCCAGGCTTGTTTATGTTTATGGCTTCGATTAGTAGGTTGGCATTTACTCTGTTTGAAATATAGAGGATCTTACCTTACCTTTTTGGTAGCGTAGTTATGTAGATATATGTAAACTTGTGACAAAGACTTCTAAGGAGAAACCTATGCGTTCTTCCTAAGCTTGGTTGAATGTATTGTTAACATGGGGAAGTGGGCGTTTTCTAAAAATGTATATATTCATTTCTCTGCCTGGATCTTTGCCAACCTTCTTGTCCATGATCTTACTATAGTTAACTAGTGTGGTAATTAATTTAATTGCAGAAAAGCCGCTTTCATAGCTATTTTTGTTTATTATTGTTTTCTTCCTTTGCCTACTTTCGATCTTGGCTTATGTTCAATAGCAAGGCATGCCTGTATCTGCATGCCATTAATAATTACTGCACCTAGATATTAAGGGGGTGTCTGGGAGATGCATTCAAATCCTTGATTCTGATTTCGTCTCGTAAAGTTTCAATCAATTTAAATTCAAAAGTTTTCTCTCATAAAGTTTCAATTAATAAGGGAATTAAACGAATTCTAAAGATTGCTTATGAACATATAAGTATAGCTTTCTCTTGTAATATGAGATCCCTTTCTTAGTCATCTCCAAATCAATACGACAAATCATTGGAAAGCCCTAAGTTTTTCCATTGTCGTTTTGGTGGGGGTTGCTTATAGTAATTACGTTGGGCAGATTTGTTATATAAAAAATAAAAAGGGAAATTAAAGGAGGGAAGATAAAGTTAATTCGGATGACGCAGTTGATTTTTAATTCACTGTGATGCTGTTGCATCCACCATATTTGTAACTCGTAAGATCCGTCTTTTTCCAAAGTCATAGAAAGTCAAAAAAATCAAGAGATTTGGATATCAAAATGGGCCCATCTGTCTTTTATGTCTCATGCCATCTGGGCGTATAGCGTCCTCATAAGAGGAGGTAAGCAAAAGAGAGGGGCCACACCAAACGTAAAGAAAGAAGATGGACCCCTCTCCTCTTTTTTTGCTGGCCAAAAATTATTAATGCCCTCTCAATTTCCGAAAGGTATGGCCATAAATTTCACAATCTCACTCTTCCACAGACGTTTCAAATGAACGATGGCTTCAGTTATGAACTTGCTAGTTCTTCCCTTCTCATCCCATCTTTTGCAACACCTTTTTAACTTTTTAGAATAAATGGAGTTTAGTCTCAGCCCCACGTGGATTACGGAGTTATATTACCTAACTAATCACATTATACAACATCATTTAAATTGTGATATAATATGATTGAATAAATGGTCTGAATCTGTAAATTACGCTGTATGATATGGTATTTTCTTAGCTGTAAATAGAACCCTACCATACAAGATTTATTTATGACTGATCAGTGCTTTAAATCTTTTACGTGTAAATAAATGTTATATAGAGTCAAGTTTTTGTGAATAAAATATAGAATTTTACACGTAAAAGATTGATCGGTCAATTTCATGTTCTCCGATTAACTCCAATTTTCAACCAGTGTGGTCGGAGATGGGACCACGTTTTCTTTTTCCCGGTTGAATAATGAGGGTCAAGAAATGGATGGTTTGCTTAGTCATTAGTGGGTTAGGCCTTTTGAAGTTTGAGTGTTTATATTATAACATGGGTATGTCACATCTATTCCTACAATTAGGTACATGTTTCCCGCCAGTACATCGCTATCACATTTTATTAGTGTGAAACATTTGATGGGCTTGACAAAGCTGACTTATAAGCTGGCCGAAGCATGCAATAACAAAAACCTTTTCAATGGATTTTACAACCAAAAACCACTATTCACTTTACTACAAGATTTTCAATCCAAATCCCATTATTCACTTTATTCCATTAATATGCATATTATATACGAATATAATAAGCCACTTGATATCCCATCACTAAAAAGAGTCAATCTAGGCCATACCAATCCCAATTGCTCATCTGAAAACCTCAACGAGAGCAGTTGAAACATTTTCCCGCCGGACAAAAAGGAAATGGTCAAAATTTTTGTTTGTCACGCCAAAAAAGTTTGTTGGAGAGTTGGTAGGCTTTGGACCTTCGCTAGTACATAAATAATTATTGTCTTTCTCATATAACGTACAACTTACATGTATACACTTCTAGTCTCTAGATAAAGTGTAATAAATGGACAATAGTTTTTACATTTTTTTTACTCTCGCCTAGGGAAGTAAAAATCCGTTTTTCCCGTCCTATAAATTTAGCTCCAGCGGAACTACCACCAAGCCCCTCAGTTAATATTACCCTTGAAACGACATCATATTGTGGTGTAACAATGTCTTAGTTACGCTCTGGGCAATACTATTTTGTAACGCCTACATGCTCCTATTCACGTACCCCACCATTTTGACCGATTTGGACAATTCCCCCGCCCACAATTACCACGCCAACAACCATTATTGGTGGCGCGTGAATCCACCGCCACCGATTGTACTAACTCCTCCACCTAACAGGGTGTCTCCGCCACCGCTGCCGCCACCACCACCTGCATGGTTTTACTTCTACTCACCGCCGCCTCCTAGTCCTCCGTACGCACCCCGTCATTTTGCCCCGCCATTGCGTCCATCACCCCCTCATCCTCACCACCGCATTCGTCATCAACGCCGCCACCAACCCCACGCAGTAATGCCATGAACAGACGAGAAGAATCTTGAACCGTTGTGCCCTTGCTGCACTTATGAAAGTATGTGTGTGCCTTTTTTTTTTTTTTTTTTTTTTTTTTTTAATATGAAAGTGGTTTTAACATATTGTAGCAGCTAGCAACAATCAGCCATTTATATATAATGATGAAACGTTGACCACATGGAAGAGAGAAATCATGAAGGCAGCAAATGGGGGGAAAAAAAAAATTAGCTACAATAAAAGCAGTGGTGGATCTGTATTGGGCCTGGTGGAGGCAGTGTCCAATTAGCCCAATTAGCTTATTTATATCATAACCTTTATATTTTTTTTTTCCTTCCAGTTTTCTTCTTACTTTGCCCCCATTACAATTTTTAATTTACAACATTTACACTTGAGTTTTTAGAAAAATTTCAATTATACCACTAAATTTTAACTTTTGAATTTTAATATATATATATATATATTTTTTTTTAAAAAATTAAAAATACCAACTAAACTAAAAATCACGCATAACATTATATTACTTCATAATTTTTTGAACCATATAGTACTTCAAAACTTTAACTAAACTTGATTAAAATAATTATAATGTCGTTTTAGTTTAATTCAAGTCCCCACTGAACGAACTTTCTGACTCCACCACCGAATTAAAGCTCTTGTTTTAAAAACGACGTTTGCTTTATGATTTTAGTGACTGACTAGTTTTATAAAATAAGAAAGAAAGATAGGTATCGGAAAAAAAAGTTTTTTTGACATATATCTAACAATACATAAAAGAGCCAAAACTCTTTTTCATGGGACTTCCATGTCACAGCCCCTACACTCAGATGTTTGTTTTTTTATCTTTATTTTTTTGTGAATTTTTTTTACATTCTAATTTTTTGTATATTTTTTAAAAATATGTTGTTCCTCACCTTACTTCTATGAGAGTAATTATTTTCGAATATGCTCTTCTTTTATTTTTGGTTGATTAAAATAATTTTTTCAAATGCGTTCATACTTAATTTTTTTCATTAATCGTTATATTTACACATATTCTTTTTTAAAATAATTTTAAAAATCTTTAAATGATTGTATAAATAAATTTTTTATTATTTAATAAATAATAAACTTTTCAAGTTTTTCTAACACAACACGTGTGGAGCACGTTACAAAACTACTAAGGGGAAAAATACGGACGACCTTTGCTCTTTTTAAAAAAAAAAAAAAGTACAAAATATATCTCAATAAAATTGATACCCACGGAAGAATAGTCACACGCTCCAAAAAAGCAAGCTAGCAGAGGCTTAAAAAATAAAAATGATAAGAATAAAAATATGAGAACTTTTATAGTGTTAGAAGAAGAACTCACGGTACTATCATGAGAATATGATAACTTATATATTTTACATTGAAACTTGTCAATTTCAAAATTGGAGTTTTATAAGTTAATATAGATTTGTGAATTTTAAAAGTTATCAACAATCTATATCTCAATAAAGTTAACTGAAGGATAGTCTCATGCTCCAAAAAAGCAAGTTATCACAAGGCTTGCAAAATAAAAATGACAAAACTTAAAATACGGAAACTTTTATGGTATCAAGAGAATAATTCCTGGTACCGTGTTGAGAATATAATAATTTGTATATTTTATGTTAGAATTTTCGAATTTCAAACCTTAGAGTTATACAGATTAAGATAGACTTGTGTGTTTTGAAAGAAATATGATAACTTACCTACCTAAAAGATACTCATTAATTTTAAATGTTACAGTTGTAAAAATTATGATAGATTTATAGATCGATACAGTTATCGTGAAGGAGTGTAGAAGAACTCTAAAATTATTGATAGTCCAATATAATTGACAAACTATTTCCACTTCCTAAATTCTTTCTGTTGTATCTATAGAACTTAAGATATAAAACCTCAAATGACATTCTTTTTTGAATGACATTAAACGAAGCATGATTTCTTTCTCTCTCGGACGACCATACAATGTTAAAACAAAGCCTGCATATCTCGTTTTTTTTTTTTTCCTTCATTAAAATAGAGAATTTTTTACGCAAACTTTTTCGTTAAACAAGTTTAAAAAAATGACTTCATTATAAGGAAAAATAGTGATTTTTACTTCTTCCTTTTTTTTTTGTTAGAAAAACACGTTCGTTGGTTCACATGAACCAAACTTCCAATCTTCGAAGTACGAACGATTTACGATCGACATCTAGTCTCTTGAACGACATAAACTTTTAGAGACGACCAAGTCATTTAATGTCAAACGACGTTAAGTCTTAGATGGAGCCAGTATGCTGTATTTAACAGCAATGACATGAATTAATAAAGAGTGAACTGAACTACTAACTAGTCATTCGATCAATCAATAAGATGACTTACCTTATAAAGGACAGTAGTTTTTTTTTTTTTTTTTTTTTAAAAAAAAAAACCTAATTTTAAATGTTACAGTTGTAAAAATTACGATAGATTTATAGATCGATACAGTTATCGTAAAGGAGTGTAGAAGAACTCTAAAATTATTGATAGTCCAATATAATTGACAAACTATTTCCACTTCCTAAATTCTTTCTGTTGTATCTATAGAACTTAAGATATAAA